TATATATATATGCATATGTATATGTATATGTATATGTATATGTATATGTATATGTATATGTATATGTATATGTATATGTATATATATATATATATATATATATATATATATATATATATATATATATATATATATATATATATATATATATATATATATATATATATATATATATATATATATATATATGTATTGTATATATATGAGTATATGGAAATTAACCCCAAATTGGTACCTTACCTTCCAACAGATTTTCAACATCAGCCACAACTTTGATTTCCATAGATTTCTCACTTGTAAATGTCATTCTTCCAGTAATAGTCATAATTTCACCCAACTTCACGGGCTTGTGAAAATCAATCGCATCTAAAAATATAGATTTATATAGATTACAAGATTAACTTGTATAACTTAACTAATTTTGTATTGTTCTCGACTGACACTGAAGAGTACGATGAAAAATTCGTTGTCTCAACCGGAATTCAAATATCTAGACCGCCGCACCACCCATTGAGTTATCGAGCCAGCATTCTCCAAGACATGCGTTAAATTGTCGCGAAAATATTTCGTGCAATTAAATTGGACAAGACTCGCTACAGATCCCTGTCGACTCGATACCCGACGTTGTGAGTTCGAATCCTGCTCGAGACAAACAAATGCTACGTTGTACCAGGCCGTGGTTGTACTCTGCGGTGTCAGAATAAGATGAAACTGTTTTTTTGAGGACGGTTCTTAAACTTAACTATAACATGGTTTACTTTATAATGTTCAACCCGGCAAGGGCGGATTTTCATTTTTTTAAAAGGAGGGGTGGAAAAATTTCTAGTGGGGTGCAAGCGGCACCACTGAGCAAGCTTCAGCAGGGGTTAAGTAATAGGGTAATAGACTTTCACACAAAATAGGAGGGGCGAAGCGAAATTTTGGTGGGGTCGAACACTTTAGGGGTTAGAGAGATTCTAGGGGAGGGGGTTAACCCCCTCCCCCCCCAGTAAATCCACCCATGGTTCAAACGCAATTAATCATAACAATTAAGTGCTTAAAAGATGTATGAAGTAGAACACATTAAGGCGCAAAGATAGTTAAGTTTAGTATATTACAGTATACAGTAGTTTGCATTTGGCTACAGCTTTGCTTCATAAAAAAATGTCAATATTGGTTGCAAGCATCTAGGCTGACAAGTCCAATGGGCCTTATGCAGGTTTCCGTCCAATTTCCAGGAATTTCAGTTACAATACTGGACGTTTTATATGTTGTTAAAGTTGTTCATATTATTATTATAAACTCTAGAAACAACAAAATCGGAACGGGATCTTGGCGTCTGGATGTCAACTGATCTCACCTGGAATACTCAAGTAGTAGTCACTATTATTATTATTATTAGGATTTTATTTAAAAACACGGAGTCCAATTCACATAGTGTGCTCTTCCCTGGAACCGTGCAAAACTACCAAATATATGTAGATAACTATAGCTATAATAAAAACAATTAAGTAAGTAGCCTATAATTAGATTAATACAATTAAATATATATAATTAAAGAAGTAATTTATAAACTAAGCTATATGAGACTTATATTCAGCAATTGATTTAGCATTAATCGCTTCCACAGGCAAGCTATTCCACAGAACAGTTCCCCGATAAGTAAAGCTTTTTTTGAGAGCCTCAGTCTGAGGTCTAGGGACGAATTGTTTAGAACTAGAGCCTCGTAAATTATGGTTGTGAACCAGATTAACGGACGTAAATTTATCCGAAAGATAATCTGGAACCATCTTATTCATTGTTTTAAACATAAGCGTTTTAATTGCTGAGATCGTAGAACAATCTTCCCGTGCTAACAAGGTGCTAGGTTATATTCATTCAAAACACCAGCGTGCGGAGGGCATTGTATTTAACATTAGTACGCCCTCACTTAGGATATACCATGCCCATATCTGGTCACCACAGTCTATCAACCGAATTGCAAAATTGGAAGAAGTTCAAAGACGTGCCACAAAATGTATTCTCAATCTGTCGTTTTCCAGTCGTTTATCATTAACATTTAACGCACTCGAGCTTAAGCAAGCAATTCTATTTCGTCATTGGACTACGTCACTAAGGAGTCATGTGAGATATGCGCACGCAGATCGAGTGTTCAGTTGCCCGCGTAGTTTCACGAGTGAACGGTTGTGTTTTTTGAAAATGGCAGCGAAAAATCGAGAAATTGAGGAAGGAATTATGCCGTCCGACCACGAAGAAAATGACTTGCTAGCGGAGGTAGACGACGAACCGATGAGTGTAGATCTGAAAGCAGTGCCGAAAGTTCTGACAGACTTAAGCAAGGCTATAACAAGCATGTCTTCATCCATGTTAAACATGGAGCAATCGATAAAACGTATGAATTCCACACAGGTTGAAACCTCTGACTCAGAGGAGCAACCAGCAAAAAAGCGTAAAAGAAGGAACGAACAGGAGAATGAAGCCGACAGCGATGATAGTGATGGCGAGAATTTACTTCGAGAAACAGAACCCCCGGCCGACTCGGCCACAGAGGGTGAATCAGGCGTCCCATGTGCTCGACTCGAGCATGACGCTCTGTTAAGCGAAATTTCGCAAGATTTTGACAAAGAAGAGGACGTAGGTCCGAAAATAAATCAGCAACTTGCTGATATTGTCAATACTCGTTAGTCAACGAAGCTTAACGAAGCGAAAATAAAAGAAAAAATGGAAAAGTATCCCCGACCAGCCAACTGTGAAAAGCTTATCGCTCCACGTGTAAACGCTGAGATTTGGGACAAGCTCGACCAAAAGGCAAAGCACCATGACCTTCGCGCTTCAGCAATACAAAAATCTATAGCAAAAGTTGGATCGATTCTGGCAGTGTCAACAGATAAGCTTGTGCAGATGAGGCATAAAAGCCTCCTGGAAGTTGACACGCTGGTGAAAATGAATACCGATGTTTTGGCATTGTTGGGCCACACGATGTGTGAGCTGTCAATGCGGCGACGCGACGCCATTAAACCAAACCTGCACAAAGATTATGGCAGTTTGTGTGCCTCGCAGGTGCCTGTAACGAGTTTTTTGTTTGGGGATAATCTTCAAACGAGATTAAACGACATCCGGGCCTCCAACAAAATCAGTAAAACCACTGTTCAAGAAAGATTTGGCCAAGCCAAATCTCGAGGCCGTTTTTCAATCGGAGGGTCAAACCTAAACAACAATACTGGCTCAGACAACAGGCAGAGAAAGGGAAACCCTTTTTTATCCAAGGGACGCCAGTGGAAGCAACACCCACCGAAGCCACCCTTTCTACCCAGGAAAAACTCGCAGACAAGGTTTTAGTGCCAGTGAATACATCGGTTTTACAACGTTTACAGGTAAGCAACCTAGCTAGGCTATTGCCTGCTGTTGTAAATTATTTTAATATGAAAACAGACAGCTTTAAAGCAGGCCAGCTGTCAACTAAACTGAGTGAGTGGCGAAAAATTACTTCTGACTCAGAAGTGTTAATAACAGTCAATGGGGAAAAAATTGAATTCATTTCCCAGCCACAACAAAACCGATGTATAGTTACCCAGGTTTCTGAAAAGGAACAAGGTATTATTTCACAAGAAAGTCAAAAATTAATGGCTAAAGGGGTTATTGTTGAATCTAGGCATGAGCCTGATGAATTCATTTCACCAATTTTTCTCCGCCCTAAACCAGATGGGTCACACAGGTTAATACTGAACCTGAAAAGCCTAAACACACATGTACTGTATAGGCATTTTAAAATGCCTAACTCCCGAGAAGGCTAGAAAGTTAAAAGCTGCAGTCAACCACCTTCTCCTACGTCAAAGGCCTTGTATTCGTGAGGTGGCACAAGTTGTGGGACTCATTATATCTAGTTTTCCTGGGGTCATGTATGGGCCTTTGCATTTCCGCCTCACTGAGCATGAAAAATAAGAAGCCCTCAAACTGAATGCTGGGAATTTTGAAGCACACATGTGTTTGACATCACTGGCTAGAAATGAGCTTCAGTGGTGGGTTGACTCCATAGATACAGCAGTTAATGTAGTGTATCGGCCTGAGCCAGATATTACAATTCGAACTGATGCATCCAAACAAGGTTGGGGGTGTGCAGTAAATGATCTAGCAACTGGGGGGCTTTGGACAGTGGAAGAGCAAGAAGACCATATAAATTATCTTGAAATGCTAGCTGTGTTGTTTGGCCTTAAAGCATACAAGCAGTTGGTATCTGACAAGCATGTAAAAGTGCTTGTTGATAATACCACAGCTCAGGTTACACTGAATAAGATGGGAACTAGTCATTCTCCCAAATTAAATGCTCTTGTTAAGTCCATATGGGACTGGTGTATCATACACCATATTTGGCTCACAGTTGCCCGTATACCAGGGAAAGAAAATATTGAGGCTGACTATGAATCCAGAAAGTGTAGGCGAAATACAGAATGGTGCCTTGACAAAAAATTGTTTCACAAAGCATGTGAAAAACTACACTTTATGCCCAATATTGATCTTTTTGCTTCTCGGATAAACTATCAGGTGAAGCCATTCTTTTCATATCATCCTGATCCAGAAGCATTAGCAGTAAATGCATTCCACCAAACTTTGTGTTGAAGCTCCTGATTCCAACACTTTGAATATCTCACATGACTCCTTAGTTTCCTTGTCCAAAGACTCATAGAATTACAATCAAATTTCGACTTAAGGTAAGTCTCATTTAATTTTTAAATTCTCTGGAGGGTGTAGCTCTGTTGGAGAGGTTCCGGCTGCTTAGTTTACTCGGCAAGCCGGCTTACGATGAACTCCATTCTGCGCAGCTGTCTTCTTGGTAGAAGAGACTTTTAGCCATTCCAGCATCCCGACTTGACTAATATCAATGATGCCGAGAATTAGCCTCTCCAAGGACAGAGTTAACGTCACACCACAGGTGGAGACGGAATTAATAAAAAACACCGAACGAATAGTAACAGGAACGTACGAGATATCTTACCTGATAAGCATACGAAGCCGAGCACAACTAACTATATGCACCTACCGACCAAAGGGGAACCAAAGAACGCTGGATAACGCAGGATACCAATCTAAAAGAAATCACCCGGACTAGCCGGGGAGCAAGCCCGACGAGCGGGTGCGGCATAATGCAAATAACGAACACAACACCGGACATTGGCCAGGCCTTAAAATATCGGTCGGTCACGGACATTGTCCGACCCATTCGTGAAATTGTCCGACGTAGAGAGGAAACCACCGGACATTCTGTCCGACCAAAGTGAAACTGAGGTTTATTGAAATCAAAATGTACCCTAGCCCAGGACTAGAGGCTTGTATGTTAAATGGAAAATCAGAGTACTATTGTATAAAAGGTGAATTGGAAATGTTGTTTTAACGTAGTCGAGCGCGGGGCGGCGAGCGAAATGGTGAAGTGGAAAACGGGCTTAAGTTGTCGAAGTCTTTTTTTAACACTGCTGTTCTGGTAAGCAAGTTAATTTTGGCTTGGAAATAAGTATGAAAGAAACAAATTATTTAATATCTTTACAACATTTACCGTTTATTCATTTGTGTCATTCAGACTTATTTCCGAGCCAAAACTGAACTGAAGGTCATCGGACATATGTCCGACCCAAACTCAACGTCACCGGACATTTTGTCAGACGGCCCTGTAAAAGATATTTTAAGGCCTGACAAAAAGGACGTTGACAAAAAGGACTACCCCCACCATTTACGCTGTGGCAAGGACACACACAACAAACAATAGGCGCTTCACGGACAGACATAAGGACTAATGGTGAGGGGACAAACGAACGTACAAGCAGACGAACAAATCACGAATTAAAATATGCTGATGCACAGATACACACATCGGCAAGCAGCCGAACACCCGGCAAGCAGCCGGACGGGGAGGGGTCAATAGCCCGAGATCGAGCAAACAGCCAGAGGGGGGGGGGGGCAGGTAGGCAACCCAAGGGGCCGGCAAGCAGCCGGAGGTAGGCCGGCAATCAGCCAGCGAGCACAGGCAAGCAGCCTGAAAAACAAAAACCCGGCAAGCAGCCTGAAAAACAAAAACCCGGCAAGCAACCGGCGCCACCGCCAACACAGGCAGGGGGGAAACACTATCGCGTGGGTGGGTGGGAAATCAAGTGCACAGCGTGAGAAGCGGTATGCAAGTGAGCACAGCCCGTGAGCACAGCAAATGGCAAACTCCCGCCCGCCGACAACAGACTGCTTCTGATTGGTCAATGAAAGTGAACCATGCATAAATGCATAATTTACATATTTTAACGACCCACATCACAACTCGTGCTTGATGTTAATTATTTTTATGGCATAAACACATTTAACATTTAACGCACTCGAGCTTAAGCAAGCAATTCTCTGGAGGGTGTAGCTCTGTTGGAGAGATTCCGGCTGCTTAGTTTACTCGGCAAGCCGGCTTACGATGAACTCCATTCTGTGCAGCTGTCTTCTCGGTAGAAGAGACTTTCAACCATCCCAGCATCCCGACTTGACTAATATCAATGATGCCGAGAATTAGCCTCTCCAACGCCACCCTCCAGCGCAGCTGGAGAAGGGGATTCGAGACACGAACCCACTCCAAAGGCGTTCCCCAACCCCAAACAAGTCTCAAACAATGTGACGAGCAGTTTGGAGAATGATGTGGGGAGGTGTCCGAATATAGCGCAGGTAGCAATCACTGGACCAACGACCCAAAATCTTGATAACATGGTCCGAAACACCCGCCAGAGCGGCCGAAGTAGCCGCACCAATACGAAAACTGTGGCTAGAATAATTCCCAGGAACACCTGCAGCCTTGAGAATGAAGCGGAGCCAAGCATTAACCACAGACGGCGACAGAGGCGCACCAGTGACGCACAAAAACAAAGGACCAGGGAACGAACAGCGGATGGCCAAATACCGAGACAGCGCAGCAACGGGACAAATCTGGTGACCCGAAGGCCCAATTAAGATCGTGCATCCCTGGTGAAAAGGATCCGTTTTGGACGACTTTAAAAACAGGCGATAGTGTCCTCCAGCATCCAACTGAATGTCGCTTAAAGACAAATGGCGTGAAGGGACGTAGACACCGGGACAGGTAAACTCGCTAACACGTAGAAAACCGAAAAAAGCGGTGCAACATGCAGCCCAAAACATCACATGGTCAAACCCCGGAGCGGAGAGCGCCGACTGGAGGACACCCATCAGTCGATTGGTATTAAACAGGGAAACGTGTCAATGCAGGCCAAGAACGAGAGCGGCGGATGCCACGTAACAATCTGGCCAATCTGGTCGCCCCGCGGGTGGGATCTGGTGCGCCAAGGTCAATGTGCCAAGAACGGACAGCAGCAATATACGACGAGACAGAAGACGGAGCTAAATTCCGAGTCTGAGCAAGCCAGGTCGCAAATAACATCAACAGCCATTCCGACGACGGAAAAGACGGAGGGTCAAAAGTCGAACAAAACTGGAAATAGGCGCGTTGCCCAGCAGCGTAGACACGGCGAGTGGATGGAGGCAAACCTTGGGCCAAGAAACCAAAACACTGGTTGATCAAGCAGGCGGTACCAGGCGCGACAACAGCGACGGTGGGATTGGAAGGGGGAGTAGATCGGAATGAGGGGCCACACGACGAAACTCCTGTAAGCGCAAACGAAAGAAAACGCAGAAAAAACCAGGAGCTGTAAAACCACTGCATGTGCCATAGGGCCCCAAAACCGCAGGAACCTGACGCATCGGATGAAACAACTAGATCAGGTAACGGAGACACAGCGGGTGAAAGAAAAAAGGACACTCCGTTCCACTCTAGGAAAAAAGACAGCCACCATTGTAGGTCTCTACGAAACTCAACATTCAAGCGAATGGGATGGTCGCGATGACGAAAACAGCATAATAGATCGATCATGCGACGAAGAAAGGTACGACCAGGCACCACAACTCGGCAGGCATGATGAAGGGAGCCAATCAAGGACTCCAAGTCACGACGCGTACACGTTTTCTTACGAGACCACGACTGGAGAAGCCGCAGGATGCGATCGACCTTGTCACGGGGCAAACGAGCTAACTGCTGTACGGAATACAACTCGACACCGAGAAACACCAAAACAGTGGACGAACCCTCGCACTTTTGCAAATGCAAAGGGAGACCCAAGCGGGCAAACACGGTAAAGGCGGTATCCATGTGGGATTGACAAATGGACGAATTGGCAGGACCCATGGTTAAGTAATCGTCCAAATAATGGAACAGCGGGCTGACAGCATAATTACGCACCAAGATCCATTCGACGGCCTCAGCAACCGAGTTGAAGATAAACGGGGCCGACCGCAAACCAAATGGCAATACGAGATCAACGTAGAAACGATCACGCCATTTCATACCTAAGAGGTAACGATCATCAGGGTGTATCAGGATATTACGATAAGCTGTTTGGACGTCGAACTTTGCCATCAGCGCCCAGGGGTCCATATCGACCAAAGCACGAATGGCGTCATCAACCTTCACATATTGCAACGAGTAAGGATCCTAGGGGATACCGTCATTGACACTGTGACCAGCCGGCGAGGACAAATCTAGGATAAGGCGCCACTTGCCAGGCTGGTGATTCTTGGGGATGACACCAAAGGGGCTGACATGAAGGACCGGAACCGGAAGGCTGGTAAACGGGCCTGCCACGCGTCAGGCCGCTAACTCTGAGGACAGGTAAGCATCCACGACGTCTGGATGGTCAGAGGCAGAGCGCATATTAGACGTCCGAGAACGCAAATATACCCTGTCAGGCTCCCAACCTACACGAAAGCCCAACCGAATCCCGTCTAAGACATAGCGTCTTTTGTATGTATGTATAAATCTTTATTGAAATACTAGAAAATACATGCATGCAGAAACCCTCGCCTTGCTGACAAAACCATTATATTTTCGAAACATGAAGTATCTAAAGTAGTTGTTATGGTAACACGATAATTTTTAAGAATATTCTTACAAATGAAAAATCGCCTAAAAATATCACTTTTAATTACAAAATTATCAATTTCCCAACATATATATGATAGGTATGATATTATACGTAGTATAAGCTTCAATTTAAGGTAAAATTCAACCACAAACGCTTCGCAAAACGTTTTAAAATGTTCTTTATGAGTTTGCAATAAAACTATGATTTCAAATTCTCGCATGCAAATAACTTTGCTTTCTTTTTTATTTATTTAAAAAAATCAATATAATAAAAAAGGGAATCAATATTAAAGATACAATGAAATTGTATGCTGTCTTGTTTAGTTGTTTCATATACGCAAAGGCCGTCGGGTTTTAAAGCAATTATAAAATCAATATTTAAAACAAACTTACCTTCGTTAACGTCGGCTCCCTTCTTTAGCCGATCCTTTCGCCCTTTCTTTCTTGAAATTTACAAAATCTTGCGAAAATGCGAGCAAAAATGCGAGCAAAAATGAAATATATTTGCAAGAAATTTATCAATCATCAAATCAAGAAATGTTTGCTATTTCGCTGTCGTCATGCAGTCGTTATAATGAAAACTTTAAATTGGGCCAATCACAGTGTTCGCTATTCATGACAGTCCGCCATATTTTGTAGATCAGTGAGGATGACCACCCACGCACAGTGACCCACGCCCGCGATATTTGATGAACTTTAGACTCCGCTAATGCTTTCGTTTCCCCGCGTGTAAATAGCCGGGGGGAATTAGTACCCTCGCACGGCCCTTCGCGCCGCCGGCTCGGGGATTAAAAACAACACCTCACAACAAACGTGCGGGCTTACAATTTGCACTTACTTATCAATAATTATTATACTAATTTCTGAATTAGTATTGATATTATTCATTAATAGAGCTAAAATACCATTATTATAATGTTTAATGAAGTTCCTAAGAAGTTAATTTCTAATTTAAAAAATATCATATGAAGTTAAAAAGACATCTATTAACGAACACTCTTTTAAACCTTTCTGTTCGAACTCTCGGTAGTTCATACTCATGTCCGCGATTGCGTAATTCTAATTGACGACTAGGCGGCAGCAAAACTTGTAGGGCATGGTTGGGATCCGTAGTTATTTTCTCCCATAAATCTCTGTCTTTATTGTTTAATATATCAACAATCGATACCTGATACATAAGATATCCACACTTATATGCACGTTTTAAAAGTTTATCTACTTGACTAAGATACTTAGAATACGACGCACATCCCCAGACCTCTATACCAAAAACTATTATTGATAAAATAAGACTATGGAACAGAAGATCCAGCTCTTTCCTAGAAAACCCGTAGTATTTGCAAATCCGAATAATGTACATTCTGCTACAGGCTTTACTCATTAATTCATCTAGATGCATGTCCCACATGGAAGGATTCTCTTGAAACGTTACACCAAGTATCTTTATTTGATAATTTAATAAAATACCGATTTGTAACCTATTAGGTTAAATTACATCAGTAAAAAGTCTCATTATACTACAATAGAAGATCTAGATGCATAAAATTATTCATAACTTCAGTTGAAAAAGTTATAGAGTTCAAATTTAAAAATATTAAAAATATTAAAATTATGGTCTATTCATATGTGAAACCATCTGTGGAAAAAACGATTTCATAAATCTGTCCGTTTTACAACTATAGTTATTATAATCGCTTCCATAACGTGTATTATAGTTATGTTCAAGTTTAGGCGGTAAGAGGTCACCCAATTTGTCTCCATGTGCATTTTTAACAAAAAAACGTTCGCATAATAAACGCCGCCGATCTTTCAGTAAGGGTATACCAGTAATACTGCAAGCTTCGCTATAAGTAGCGAATGGCAAGACAATACGCAGAGCCCGCTTCTGGAGTTTTTCGATATCTTCACTTAGGTATTCTGTAATATTGAAGTGCCAAACTTGGCAGGCATATTCGACTACTGGTCTGATAATGGTGCAGTATACCAAAATTAGAATGCTATTGTCGGCATTTGATCGTTTTAACAACCTTAGCATATAAAGGCGTTTTCCCGCTTTTTTAACAATATGGTTCACATGCTCGTTCCATTTCAAATCATCTTGGATTGAGAGACCAAGAATTCGGGCAGATTTTACCCGCTCAATACCAATGTTATTTATAGTTAACGGTAAAAACTCATGTTTTTCTCTTGCAAAGTCAATTACCATTTCCTTACATTTGCCGATGTTGAGCTTCATATTATTAACTTCACACCAATTATAGATAACATTCACAAGATCTTGTAGTTCACTACTCTCAGTTGATGTAACTCGTTCAGCAAACGTACTGTCATCAACATACTTCCATCTATCGCTCCAATCAATAAGAAGATCATTTATCATAACAAGGAACAAAGCTGGCCCTAACACCGACCCTTGCGGCCCTCCACCGTTTAACGTTTGCCAGTCCGAATGACAGTTAGCCAACTTGACTCGTTGTTTACGATCAGAGAGAAAACTTCTAATCCAATTTATAATGGTTTGGGAAACACTCATTTGTTGTAGCTTATTCACCAGTATGTTGTGATCTATTCGATCAAAAGCTTTTTCAAAATCAAGCAAGAATACTCTCACCGCATTGCTTGAAGCATCTGTAGCACTCAGGAGGTGATGGATCAGGCTCAGTAGGGCATGGGTAGCCGAGGAATTTTTAACGGAGCCAAACTGCCGCGTATCAATCTTTGCACCAATTGACTTAAGTAACCAGTCTGTAACAAACCGTTCGCAAATTTTGGATAAAGTGGGGGTAAGTGAGATAGGGCGCAAATCTTTAGAAATGTCTTTAGGGACTGATTTTTTTGGAACAGGGATAACGTTCGCTTTTTTCCACATTGAGGGTACAACTGCTTTTTGAATCGAAGCGTTGAAAATCGATGCCACAGGGGAAGAAAGAACGTATGCATAAGATTTAAGCACCCAATTAGGTATTCGGTCAGGACCAGGTGATTTGGAAACGGGGATGGCGGACAATTTACAGTATACATCTTTTTCTTCGATAATAAACTGTGGAAGGATACTTGTACTGCCATTTTCAATTAGGTCATCAACTGGAGACTTATTCAAGTGAGGAATATCTTGGGTAGATGAGACAAAAACATCATTGATTTTATCTGCTAACTCTTTACCAGCAAAAACCTGGTTGTTTACAACGAAATTAGAGAATGTTTTGTTCTTGGCGAAACCCGCAAGCTGTTTTATACATTGCCACCATTTTTAGCATTGGGGTTTAGTTTTAACTCAT